ACGTAGTAGTAGTGTGTGTGTGTGTGTGTGTGTGTGTGTGTGTGTGTGTGTGTGTGTGTGTGTGTGTGTGTGTGTGTATACGCGTGCCTTTGTTAAGAAATCAATGTTTCCTAACAAAAATACAAAAAAAGAATTCATTCAACATATATGGAGAAATTTTTATATATATTGTCACATTAATAATTGGTGACTTTTCGCACAGCAACAATCAACTGATAATTTATTCATTATTGATAGAACAACCGAATCAAAGGTCAAATGTTTTCCTGATCTTCGGTGTCTTCACCGCCGAGATTTTCCTCGCTGTCCTGCCGATCGATCGCTACAAAGATGGCTACGAAGCCTTTGTTTGAAATTGTATCGTCTGTTCTGAATCGTACTAACAACGCCTCGTTTATGGAAATAAAATCGGTGGTATTCTGCAACATTATAGTTATAATTTTTCATGTAACCTACACATCTCTTTCACATATTCTTATGTATTTCCATTTCGATACAATACGATTAAAAAACCAATTCAAAATCTTGTGAGATACTTACGGAATTGCCGCAAAATCGGCCGTACGGTGGACTAGACGCATCCAAACCGGAAAAAACTTCAACGAAGTCATATCCGCATTCCGTTTCGTATTCCAATTGAAACGAGAGAAAAGATAAGTGAACATTTTTGCCAAGTGGTGCTTCTATGACCCAGTCGCAATCGGTTCTGTGATCGTAATGATAATAACCGTACTTGGCGTGAGAATACAGGTGTTTCGCTCTCTCCGTTGCCATGAGGTGACCACCGCAGGCTACGAAAATTAAAATTATTTTTCTCCGTATGTAATTATTATACACAACATGTGTAATGTAATATGATTTAGACGCTTAAATTGAAAAGTTTTTTATTCACTCGCGCGCTTGAATATTACATGTGAACGTTTGAGATTTCGGATTATCGTGTTAAAATTGATATTGTGATATAATTGTTATTGATATGATAATAGAGAGAAAATTACCTGTACTATGCGTGGCCATGAAACCCTTTCTCTGTACGGAAGCATCGCTCTTAAAGACCATATACATTTGATTGCCCGTTGCGAGAATTGGATGTGGCTCTTTGTTACCGCAAAATCTGCCTAACGTGAGGCTGTCTGGTGAATCTCCGTCGTAAATAGCGATGTGATCGTACGCACATTCTTGGTGCGGTTCCATCTCGAAACCTTAAAAACCTGCAACATTGCCACGAATATCTCTTTCTTTTTCTTCATCTTTCTTACACAAAGTCATATTTTCTTTCTTTTTTTTTTTCCTTATATTTTTATATTCTTGCCAATTTGCCTTTGTTTCAATATATATTGTAATTTCTACGAAACTTTACGAAATAACGATACGAACTAGTTTTATCCGATGGCCTGGCTTCGTAGTAAAGTGCCAAACGCAATCCTTACGCCCAGGATAATAATCCGGATAATTTGGTGAAGTAATTGTACCCACAGGTGCGGTAATCTCGTATTTGCAGCCACCCTCTTTACAATCGTGACCATTTTCGTGAAGTGTAAATCCATTGTGGCAAGAACACTGATAAGAGCCTATCGTATTTTTACATTCGTGCTGACATCCACCATTGTTATTGGCACACTCATCCATATCCGTAAAAAATATGGCAGCGAAGCCTGACTTTTGAACGCTGTTCGATAAAATGTGCGGTGCAAATAACAAAAGTATTAATTATTCCTGTCGATAATATAATAAGCCTCGACTGTTATTTTACGTTTACTCGAGAGAATTGAATAAATACATATGAATTGAAGAAATACCTGAAAAAAATGTTTCGTTTGTCAAAAAGATCGAAATAACTTTATTGAAAAGCATCTTTACAAATAACTCATGATTTCTAATATTTCCAATTTCTTTCTGCAACTTTGAACATTCCCACTAATATTGTACTGTGTTGTATATATTAATGCTCGACAAATCGATTCAATTTTCAATCTTTTATACATTCGCGAGTGGAAAAGGAGAGTGTGCCTAAGAGAGTGGGAGAAAGAGAAAAAGCGAGCGGAATCTCCTTTAAATAGCTCGCTATTTCATCCATGTGGATAAGGAGTATTCGAGAGTAAGAGTAGCCACACTCTCCAGAACTCCTCTAAAATATTTAATATGAAATGTATAAAGAGACACGTCGAAACATCTTGACGAAGCATCTTGTGTACGATACATTTTTTTCAAAATATATGTAAACTGAATACTAAAAAGATAGACAATGTGAGATAAAACCTGTTGTCGGATGTAAAGGTGATCTTCATAAAATTGCCTTCGGATGTGATCAGTGGCGGTAGTCGTGCACCGCAGAATATCCCATGCTTTCTGAGAACGTCATCTCCTAGCTTGCTCGCCACTTCTACGGAATCGTACTCGCATTCCTCCTGATATACGTTGTTGCCTTCGAGATCGAAATGCGTAAAATTTAAAGTAATACGATATTGAGGCAAAGCGATAATTTCCCATACGCAATTTTTGTTTCCCGGATAAGTTTCAGGAAACGATGGACTCGTAATAGTACCATTGTTATCGTCGAAAAATCCACCACAAGCGTCTAATAAAAAAAAAAAAAAAAAATACAATTTCATTGTTAACGATTGTATTCATAAGCACATTTGTTTTAAAAAAACTATCATTCTTTACCTTCGCAATGTTTACCATCCGAGTGTAACTCGTAACCAATTTTACACGAGCATTCGTACCCACCGAGTGTATTGATACAGTCGTGCTCGCAACCGTGATCCGTTAACATGCACTCGTCGAATTCTTAAACATAGGATATACACATATATATATATATATGTGTGTGTGTGTGGTGGGGGGTGGGGGGTGTGAGTGTGTTTGTATGTGGAGCAACATTTAGCGATATGCGCGATGTACTTATGTACGAGAATCGTGACTAGCAAATACAAAACTCGCAATGCGATGTATTCGCTCGCGGTATTTCGCTTCTTTCGTTACGGTATATCACGCACCTTTCATAAAAGTTGCCGAGAAACCAGCCTTTTGCACGGAACCGTCGCTGACGAACTTAACGAGCAGCTTGTTTCCCGTCGACTTAATATCTGGCGGTATCTTGTATCCGCAATAAACGCCGATTAAGGGAGAATCATTGCTATGTCCGTCACGCACTTCAACGTAGTCGTACACGCAATTGTCATGATTCTCGATCTCAAAAGATTGAAATTTCAAGGCCACTTGATAATCCTGAGGTACGGACAACTTCCACACGCATTCCTTACTGGATTGATATTCCTCTGGATAGTTTGGTGACTCCAAATGTCCTACGCCATCCAATTCGACATCACCGCCGCAAACAGCCTCGTAATTCGCAGTGAAACCACGATGGCCACTTTGTCTGCTGGATGTTACATACGTTACCAGCATGCGACTTCCACTCGATACTATAGGTTCGTGCATTTTGCCACTGCCGCAATATCGACCTGAATTAAACGAATGTAAAATATATAAAAGAATTGTAAAACTGCTATTTCCTTTGATAAATTGACATAGGAGCCAGGTGCCGATTGATTACACGTATGTTTTTTCAAATAATATTTCTTATAAATTTTGCACGCGTTATGCGTTATATAAATTTGTACGAGATTTGCCTAAGTTGAAACATTTTCGTCATGCGCACAAGTGACGTGAAAAGAACGTTGCGCGAAAAGTTTGTCATTTACATACATTCCGTACGTGAGATACGTTGAGGTAAAATTTTGTTTGCTTAATACGTACGTAATATGTTGGATATTTGCGCTCCAATTATTTTTTGGAGTTGTTACACTAGATACTTATTAAACATCCTTTTCGCTTATTTCGTATTCGTATTATGTTTCACGCGAATGCTTCGCATAGACTTCTCTCTTAAAGAAAAATTCTCACCCAACACTCGGCTCTTGTACCAGTATCCGTCTCGAATTTCCAAATAATCGCTGCGACAGTAATCGCTTTTGAATATATCGAGAGATGTGATGTTTAATACGATACGTTCACCATGCGTCGCCGTAATCCTCCATTCGCATCGTTCTCCATCGATAGACGGAGAATTATTCGGATGATTCGGTGATCCGAAGCTGCCGCTGTTCTCCTGGAAAGTTCTACCGCATTCTGCAAAGATTTGCCCAATCTTTTTATCTAATCGGTTTCTTCTAAAATTCTAAAATTCTTAATCTAACGATACTATCCTATATTTTAGAATTCAAACAAATTTAATAAACAGAATTTAATAAAGAGTAATATTGCAATATCAGCATTTATTTTATATCTTGCTTTTTCTAGGTTGCTATGCATATTTCGTATTGTCATTGGTCGAAAATTTTAATTGTGAAAAGTAACAAATATATATTATTTGAATTTTTTTTTAAATTCTTTTTTTAAAATTTATTTTACATATATCAATATATCAATATAATATATAATTATTTATATCGATATAAAGCTTCTTCTCTTGAAGCTATATTTAATTTTTACAATTACAATTTGAAAATTACAAACAGACACGTCCAAGAACATGCATTCTTACTCTGACATTTATACAAAAGATTCGTTTGTGCGATGTCACCCTCGCTCAATCTAATTCTCTGTCCGATCTCGGGTCTCTTTTTTCCATAAGTTTCCATAGGTAAGATTGTGTCCAGATAAGTGCCCTTCGAAAAGGTGTTTTTTGCGTAATGCATAATAGAATCATAATCGTAAGGCAAGCCGAGTGAATTTACTTCTTCCTCTGTCAATTTGTTGAAATTGTACTCCTGACCTGCGAGAAAACATAATATTGTTACCGAAGGAATCTATCTAGAGAATGAGGAAGAATTTCTTTAAAAGAGAATCTTTTATGTATGACAATTTAATTAAGCGATTCCTTTAGAATCATCAGCTTATAAGCTGTTATAAAGCGAATTGAGTGATAATTATCGAGTAATTACTCACTTGTCACGTGTAAATAGCCGAATATTCTATCGCATTATTTGCTATTATTTTCAATGATCGATAACATTTGTACATTCTCGTTAAACTGGGACTACTAATTTAAAATAAAAATTAAATTCAATCGCGAAAACAAATCAATACTTACAGAACGATCGCTTTACAATTTAAAGCTTACGTACCTTGAAATAAATCCTACTCACATTCACCAAGCATAGAACGACTACGATAATTAGTTAAATTTATGAAAATCAAATTGCAGATATTGAGTATCGTACTTTATTTTTTTTTTTTTCTTTTATTTAGAAGTGGAAAATGTGTATTGTAGAGCGTCAACAAAGTCTTTTGTATTATTAAATATTTTCTATTATGTGGGACAAAGATATAACATAATACGTTTCAAATAAAATGAACAAATATTTTCCAAACAATTATCAAATCGATACTAATCAAGCTATCGCTTCATCTTGAAAAATTGTCAATGATAACGCTCTCTCGAAACTGATGATACTTTGTGTAATATATTTTATACATCTATAATTAAAACCAAGTGATAAAACTTTTGTACAAATGATTAAAAACAAAAGATATTTTCGACGTCATAGAGATAAATATGATCTTACCGACCGCGTGATATTTATTTTAACACGCCGCGACATTTTAACGCGTATCTTAAATCAAATATAATTCAAAATAAATATAATTCAAAAGATAAAAGTGCCAAAGCGCTATACTGGCATTCTTTGAAGCCTCAAAATATAAGAGCGGTACTTTAGAAGCGCCTAGCAAAGTGCACACAATTAGAGCGTAATTAATATCCCTAACGGGGAGGTACCATACTCTTGTAACTTCCTTACACAATCTCCTCGAGCAACGCAATAATTTTGGCTAATGAAGAACCTTTCTTACTCTTCGGTGAATCTTTTATACCTTATAATATCAAATGTATTTTATGTTGACACGATATGATATGACCTTTTGATATTTATGATATTTATTCAATTATGTATGAGCGTTACACGAAGATTCATTGGTAAAATTTCGTCAAGTGAAATCCACATCAAGTTCTGTAGAAATTAGGAACTTGGCAAATCTCCAATCAATTCCCATACCAAAAAAAGATTAGAAAAATTAACTTGAGAGTGATTGAAAAAGATATATGATAAATGAATAACTAATAAGTACCACGATAGCCGTGATCTAATTACAACTACATTATAACTTTAATAAAAGAAATTCATTAAAAAATTTATGCAGACCGATGCATATCAAAGAAATAACTTGGCCGAAAAAGTCTGAAAAAAAGAGCCAAAGAAAAGAAGCAAAAATTGTTCCTACGATGTCAATGATTTTTTACAAGATCTCTGAAATTATCTCTGTCTATATTTTAAATCTTAAACATAATTCCACACAGACGACATTTTATTACGTCGCTAACGTCGCTAAGTATCTTTTATACACAGATATATTAAAATAAGTTATTCTCATCGCATGCGCGTATTTATTTATTTATGCAAATTTATGCACATTTTGCATTATTTAATTTGCATTATTTATGCGAGCGATTATGTCTGTTAATTTCAAATTTTATATTTACTGACATGCTTATCATTTTGATGTAGACTTACTTAAAATATTATATACCATACATACGTGGTATATGCATTGACGATCATTCAATTCGAAGATGAAGTTCAGAATAAATATCACTCACCGCTCATAATGTTATCGCGGATGATTTGTACGTGACGATCACGATCCGGTCGGGTATGTTCGTGCCAAAATCCAACAACATGACCCAATTCGTGTACAACTATACCAAACTTATCACAGTTTTTCCCAATACTAATAGCCTGCGGTCCGTTACCTCTCTTTCCAACGAATGAACAACACCTATTAGGAGGAAAGTTTAGGACACCGTTATATTGAGAATTAACATTTGTCCTTTTTCTTTTTAAAATTTTTTTTAGCAATGTGCCAAGATGCGACTTACCCACAAGGTCTTTCCGTAAACAAAATGTAATTGGGATGCTCTCTAGGCATCCTCTCCACGAATTTGACACAAGTGAAATTTTCCCAGTGTCTCATCGCTTGCTTGAATAAGGCCTTGTGTGCGCCAGAAAAATTGCCGTCGATCTCATAAGGAATCACACCGTGATCCCACACTCGTTCCTTTCTCGCAGTAGCTGCCCGACGTATTCTGCTCAAATATGCGTATCTTGTGCCACTTTTTTTCGCCAAGTATTTGGACTTGTGTTCTATATCGTAGAATTCGATGGAACGAAGACGTCGATCGTGTACGGAGATAATTTCATCCGACGCATCGGTAATAAAGTCATTGGACATTCGTCGATTGCACTGACGGTAAGAACACCTTCGCAAAATTTTTTGGATATATAAACAATTTTATGAAACTATACAAATTTCTAACTATACATATTCATACACATGTACGGTACATGTATGTGTTTAAAAAGTCAAACTTCAACGTACGCGGCAATAATCTTATTTAATAAATGTCCTTATATATTTTTAATCGTCTATCTTATTCTCTGACAATTTTTTTTCGAAGTACATCGATAGAAAAATATAAATTGTAAACGTAGGCAACGCGAAATACAAAATCGGAACATGTCTTCGGGAGATGTCTTAAAGATATCTTATGCCCTGATTTTGAACTTAATGTTGTTGTTGAATAAACCAATTGTGCAATGAGAATATAAATCTCGCGCTATCAAAAATATTATGTTTCTCTGCCGTGATGCAAAATAATAATATAATATAATATTTTAAAAGTGACGCATTCTTTTCTCCTGACCTAAAAACAAGCAACATTTGTAAAGAGAAAAAATGATTCCCAAAAAATATATTAGCCGTGGAAGTAAGTCGCCAAGTATAAATTAAAGACCTCGTGAGAGCGAAAAAATTGGCACGGAACGGAACGGATTAGGAATCGCGTTTTAATCGCGTGTCACGATTAATAAATATTGCAAAAAGAATAAATAAAGTTAAATTAACATTTGTAACTAATATAATATTTTGAATGATTGAACAAACGACTAGCGATCGCTGAACGAAGGCTGAAATCGCTTCGACAATGTTTGTTTCACGTTTTATTCCACACACATATACATTTCTGCACATATTATCCGTTCACCTATAAAGAAAAAACACCGAGCTAATATCAATTGGCACACTATAATGCAATTAAGACTGCTGCCAAGGACGATTGGAAGATCGAATCGCGCTTGGAAGATTGGTTACAGCTTGCATCTACTCCGGCTCGTCTATCGAGATCTCACAGTGGTACATGGAAAAGGTCTATCGAGGTACCACCAGTCGCGCCACTGAATGATCCGTATACCGTAATCCTTAGATAATTAGTCATTTCTGAATCAGCGTGGCGTTACTATATTAATTAGTCTGTCTCGCATGTGAGCCGCGCACGTAAGCATCGCGCGAGAAAACGAGAAGAAATATAGCAGATATAGCAGAGTGCGTTAATGAATTCGGTTGAGACGCATTTACCGTGCTTCCTCTCTATATTATATTCTATAGTAGAGAGTAGCTCGTTGCGCCCAGTGCTGTTTTGAAAGGAAATCAGCGATCTATTCCGTTGCCCCCGACGATACATCATCTACACATTTAATTAGCGTAGATGCTACACATAACAAACGCTCATATCTCTATCGATAGCTGTTAACAATAATAAAATCATTATTAGTTGGCTCGTAATCATTATTATTCGAATTTATATATGTATAATGCAATATTTTCGTAATAATAATTAATATAATAATATTTATAATATTTAAATAATAAATGTAACATATTAATGTAATAGGCTTCTTCAGATTTCTAAAAAAAAATTACCGGAAATTTGATCTCGGGAACAAGCTTTCAGATGTCAATTTCAGAAGAAGATTATCAAAATAATTACAGGTCATCTCTAAATATGAGAAATATAAATATTCTAGAGTTAGGCGGAAGCGTACAATTATTATATTTGTCAAGTATCATATAAAGAGTGGTGATCCAATGATTTCATAGCGGAGCTCTGTACTCGTATAGCATACTCTGTGCGAGTGTGTAGTACATCGGTGTGCTAATCCCACGGGGGTGAAAACCTGAAAGGGTCGCGGTACGTACATAGGGAGCGTACCGGACATAGTTTGAGCTTTGAAACAGGCTTACGAAAGCGCGTGTTTACGCCCTATATCCGATATCGTGAAACATGATCGCATGGTGATTCCCGATGAAGCTCTACAAAGTTCTGGGGAGGAGGTTTAGCCTTGCTGGACCCGCAGATACGAAAAACGGATAGATACGGAGAACGGATCGGTACAAGTTCTAGAAAGGACGAACGAAAGGATGTGAGCGGCGAAAGGAGAAATACGGTATAAGGGATTTTTTTTTATCAAAAACTTTCATCAAAATTTATCCACTGAAATAACTAAAATAACGGTAATTTATCAGTTTGCTAAAATTCTCGTTAGACTGTTTTATTTATATATATATATATATATATATATATATAACAAGTATATATATATATATATATATATATATATACTTGTTATATATACATTTAGGTATCGTCTTGTCGTTCTTATTTTTTTTAACGTATAGTTTTTTTTTCGTTGATTCCTACAGACATCTTTTATCCGATTGGTCCTGTATCTTCGCTGGCAATGTGACTATCGAATGTACGCGAATTACAAAAAATAATGCGTAGAAAGTAAAATGCTTCCCGTTTTTAGCGTATGTAACTAATTGTAAGAGATAGATCGGTACTTCGGTGCATATGTCTATACTGCGCGAGCGCGACATACCTGCGCCACGACACATGAACACCGCGGTATACGAAACGTCGCTACCAATGCTGACAAGTTATTGGCAGTTTGAAGGCTGAAAATGCTCGGACGGGTAGTATCGGACCCCATTTTCCAGCTTTACGACAACGGCCATTGTTATTGACATTACGAGATAGCTCCCCGCTAGCGGGAGGCTCACCGTTGGCGATACTTGGAAATTGATGCGTCGCTAGTAAGCAAGTGGAAGAGGAACGATAGAACCAAACCAAATCGCAAACTCGCGTTCGCGAGATGCATCTTTGACACGCAATTTAATCGTGCATTTATACCGGATCGGTCATTACCATTATATTTTTGAAAATTGCTCGTTCATACCCGTAATATCACGCACGATAAAAGATATTATAAATAATATCTTTAATATTAACTATTATTATCAACGTGCGTTTATGTCATCACGCGTTTATATATCAAGATTTACGCTATGAATGTATGCTAGCGATGAAAGATATACTAGTGACAAGTGTCGAGTCTAACGGTCGAGTCAAAGTCTTCTTACCTTTTGCGATGATGACGTCGACGTCGTCGAATGGGTGCATTTTGCGTACTCGTTTCAGGATGCGAGATAAATACTTCTTTGACACTATCTGTATGATCTACATTTTTATTATCTTTGAGCATGATAGTTGTAGCGGTTGAAAATTCGAGAGGCATGTCGTCATTCGGTTGTCTGGCTTTCATTGATCTCGATGTCGAAGTTGTTCTAGAAAGCTGTCGATGAATTTGATGTCCAAAATGCCTTTTCTTCGAAGCTTGAGTCGAAGTTTCCAATCTGATAAACATAACTATCACTTAGTATCATTCTTCTTTCGTGCTATTTACGAATGTGTTTAGCTGCGTGTACAAGCATATAACGCAAATAATAATCGCGAGTAAACATAATAACGTTAACGAAATATTTCCGGAAAATGTGTATACATTTTTTTTTTAATATCAAGCAGTGACGATTATTTTATCACGTGGTACATTTTATTGAAATTTTATTTGTTCTATTCTTTTTTCCTTTTATGATTTATGTTAATGTTTATCTGAGGAATGTGCCGAATGAAAGAAGCTTTTTTATATAAGACATATTTTATTAAATATGCTTGTATCGCACGTAAATATAAATATATTACGATACCTAAATTTAAAGCCTTCATTTTTCACTGCGGGATTAGTATCATCATTTCTAGCGATAAAAGTGAAACTATCATCGGATTCGTCATCTACGCTATATTGGTTGCGATCTATTGTGATAGACCCTGGCTTCTTTTGAATCATCTCATCGTGCTCATG